CAAAGAATCCAAATCTTGATTTCCGAACTAAAAAATAAAAATAAAGTAATAGAGATGTGAAGTTATAATACCCGAAGTGGTAGGTGTCGCTACTATCGTTGAAGTAGATAACATCCTCTTCTTCGTCTATATCCATTTGGTTCGCAAACATAATTTTCTGGCCTTCGACTTCGTCAATGACCATCTCAGCCAATCCTCCTTGAGGCCCGACCTTCATTATCCCAAAGTAACCGTCACAAAAGTACAAATCTCCCGATTTCTTCTCGAAGCTCAGTCCCAAAGGCCTTCCACACGCAGGTTCCACCTTAGTGCTTGAACAGTTCTCTCTATAAATATAAACCAATTTTTTTTAAACAACTTTATTTTGTCTGTATCTATCGTATAATCTTTTTTTTGTACAGCAAATCTATCCTATAATCATTAATCTATTAACATTTTATACGAGGGTTTGATCTCTTAATAAGGTTTGCGTATTCATTCATATTTACATGATATATTATTGTTTTTTTTCTTATAATATAAAATTCTTTTATAATAATTTTTTTTTGTCGTAAAACTCTCTTATAATAATAATCTTTAAAAATTGTAAAATTAAGCGCCTATGCAAAGCGCATATATCATACAACAAGAGCATGTGACTCGAATGGGTAAAGTAGTTTGTCATGTAGGTCTTAGTATACACATATTTTGCTTTGAAATAAGCGGTTACCTTAAATTATATTTGGTCAATTTGTATATAATTAAACATACCTGTGGGGAGATGTGTAGGCGAATTCGACCCAACCAAGATCCTCCCCGCGCCACTTGAGAATGCGACCGTCGGTGACTCCGACGTATGGGCCTCCTCCTTGCGGGTCCCAGTCCAGGCTCTCCGGTCCTTCTACGGGAAGCGGGATCATCCTCGCCGCGGTTAAGACGTTTTTAGAGCCAACTATACTCTCCGGTCCGATGATGGATGGCCCGAAGAGAACGACCAGGACGGCTATAACCGCCGTTACAACGGCCCAAGTCCAAACTTTCCGGCTGATTGGCATTGGAAGTAACTCCTCTCTACCTTCTCTCCCGAGAAAAAAAAATGTCTTTTAAGTGCAAGTTAGAATGGCTAATTACTTAATTATATGCATGTGTATACATACTAATTATTTGGATGTTTCACGTTTGAGAATACGTGAGAGACAAGACAAGGAATAAATAGAGAAAAGCATTAGCTATTGAGAGAAGCGATTCCATGTTACTACTTTAAACGACTTTTTCTTTTTCGTCTTTATTTTGAAAATAATACTTTTCTAATTCATTAGTTGTTTTGTTTTTTACATGAGGAAAAAAAGACAGAGAGATTTAAATAAAGATTCCGACAACAATGCCACTATCACCTTGTCGAAAAGTTCTAGTTGGAAAATCTTGTATTAAAAAAATATTTGTGTTTGTGTAATTTTTAGTTCTATATATTGATAAACCAAAAGTTCTTAAATAAAATAAGATATGTATATCCAAAAAGGGTTGGTTACATGGTTTTGTGACATGTCTCTCTATCTTCTGTTCCTTTTTAGATATTTTCGGATTGACGTGGAAAGGAAAAGAGTCTGATTTACGTTTTTGTAAGACACTTTTGTAATTTGAATACCATGCATTCTTTATCTCACTTACGAAGTTTCGCTTTTTAAAATTATTATAAAAGAAAGATTAGTCATCGGTTATATCTTATATATAGATAACGTCAACATTGAAAACAAATAGTTGTGTATACTCATTCACAATATTAAAAAAAAAAAAAAAATTGCATTTCCAATCCAACACCAAATCCTTTTGGTGTAAAATCATCTCCAACCCAATACTATTTGGGGCAATTACAAAAATGCCACTTTTTGTATGCACAATTGCAAAAATGTCACTTAAAAATGCCCATTTGCAAAAATACCACTAATTATAGATTTATAAAACCTATATCTTAAAATTCTAAANCCTAAAAAATNTTTTGANCCCTAAAANCNCCTAAACNCTCNTAACTAAANCCTAATANAACATAATTAACCCAAACATAAATGATATAAAAAAAAAAATTTTGAAAAAGTGGCATCTTTGTAAAGATTTCAAAAGTGTGACATTTTTGTAAAGTGGCACTCGAAAAGTGGCATTTTTTAAAATTTCTCATACTATTTTGGTGTTGAACTTTTTCATTTATAAAAAAATCTTTCAAATTTTAGTTAATTCTAAAATTGATGAAAAAATAGATACAAATCGTGATTGTTAAATCAAAATCTAATATGTTTGGTGATAATTAAACAGAAATTTAACATATGTTGTTATTTTATATGTTGCGATGTACTCT